TCCTCGTCTAAAGCGCTACCTTTTTGTCTCTGTGAACTTCCCTCGTTAGTGTGACTCGGTCTCTCTCTCTACTCGTTATACAGACATACAATGGAGGCCGTGGCTGTGAGACTACGTCCCAGAATCACACCTTTATTATCCTCTGTCAGCACGTTCACAAGTTCTCCCCCGAGGCAGAGTTTCATATGAAAAGAAAACATTCATTTTGTCTTGGCTAGAGAGAGCAGGAAAGTGGACAAATTCATTTAGATTTTAGTTAGATAGCAGCTATTGGGATTTTTCTAAGGAATTGACCAGAACAAACCACCATTAATTACCAGACTACTTAGCCCTAGATCTACATTATTATTCCCTGGGGGATATGAAGTTGGGCCTAACCTTTTTAAGTCTTATCCCTTAAAGTTGAATCAGGTCGAATATTGTTAGTTGTGTGAAAGTGGCCACTCAAACTTTGGATGTTGTCATCATCGCATGTGTGATTTAAACCCTTGTCATCTTCCATTGATATTTTCCAAGAGGCATAGTCATCCAACTTAACCTTTTATTATGAATGATAAATCAATGAAATGGCATTTGTCTGTGGCCTCCTAGACAGTCATTTTTATTTAACAGTGCTCTGTCATTGTGGAGAGCACATAGGGATAATTGAACCTGTTGAATCCATTTGTTCCTTTTCATTTAGTCCCAATCTATTCGTTTTTTTAAACAGAAGGGGGATGGTGCCTCCCGAGTGGCGCAGTGGTCTAAGGCACTGCACGCAGTGCTTGAGGCATCTCTACAGACCCGGGTTCGATCCCAGGCTGTGTCGCAGCCGGCCGCGACCGGGAGACCCATGAGGTGGCGCACAATTGGCCCAGCGTCATCCGGGTTAGGGGAGGGTTTGGCCGGCTGGGAAGTCCTTGTGGCCAGTTGTACGGTGTTTCCTCCGACACATTGGTGCGGCTGGATTCCGGGTTAAGCGAGCAGTGTGTCAAGAAGCAGTGCGGCTTGGCAGGGTCGTGTTTCGGAGGACACATGGCTCTCGACCTTCGCCTCTCCCGAGTCCGTAAGGGAGTTGCAGCGATGGGACAAGACTGTAACTACCAATTTGGATATCACGAAATTGGGGAGAATAAGGGGTAAAAAGGACCCAAAAAAACAAAAGGCGAATATCTAATGCTAAATAACTGGTATTTTGGGCAGGTGTGGTGGAATCAATGGCTTCAGCAGCTGGAGTGTGCAGTGTACCATCATTATCATATCTGACATCTGTCTATATTGCACATTGCAAGTAGGAATCAGTGGCAGCCCATATCAACCTAGAACATCCCATATTAACCTAGAACATCCCATATCATCCTAGAACATCCCATATCATCCTAGAACATCCCATATCAACCTAGAACATCCCATATCATCCTAGAACATCCCATATCATCCTAGAACATCCCATATCATCCTAGAACATCCCATATCAACCTAGAACATCCCATATCATCCTAGAACTGCCCATATCAACCTAGAACTGCCCATATGAACCTAGAACTGCCCAGCGGAATTATGAAACAAACAACAAAGGAATGTAGCCTATGGAATGACTTGGCTTCTTGTCTGAAATATAATGGGTGGCTGGAGTGACAGCTCAATCATAGCTCTTTGGCTTCAGCCAGCTCCTGATAAACAGATGTCATTTGGAAAGCTGTCAGACTGTGAGGATGCATTATGTCTGTAAAAAGGCTTTTACAACGCCCCACAGTTTGTTAGCTGTTAGTTCGGTGTAGGTGCATTGATAGGTTGTTCAGCTCCATTTTTGTGCCAGTAGCCAGACAACATTTATTTGATAACATAACTCCATTCTTACAATTTAGTGTAATTGCGATCTGTCTGTGCATATCTCCCACAAACACACACACACACAGCCCAACACCGACAGGCACACACACAAAATCAGTGAGATAGAAAAAAGTTGTGTTCAAGGGGAGAGTTGGGGGCTCATCTTCAAAGCATCTTCTCACTGCTCTAAGTGTTTCGACAGCAACATGCTTGCGTCTTGTTATTCTCACTCCGCTGCCAGATGTTATGGCATGTCGGTGCCGTGCGGGACGTGGCAGCCATAGAAACAGCTGGAGGGGTTTTGGATGGGCCCTCCCGCCTGGTCCTCCCGGGGTGTCACTGTAATCCCAACGCCCCGCCACCCCCCCCCCCCCTCGCAACACCGTCCTCATTTCATTATGCCGGATGCACCAATGGCATCGCATCAAACCCACAGGGGATTATTCCAACATCCCCAATCGCCACTACCACACTCTTATTCAGACTGTCACTGATCCCTATCGGTGGCTCATTATCTCGATGAGGAACCACGCTATGATGTTTGGAGGAAACAAGATAAGCTTTCACTGCAGTATGTGTTCACAGTACTGCGGAAAACCCCAGACTGTAACTCTGCACTCAGTAACATGCAGTGCATTCGGAGAGTATTTAGACCCCTTGACTTGTTCCACATTTTGTTATGTTACAGCCTTATTCTAAAATTGATTTAAAAAAAAAAAAAAAAACGTCATCAGTCTACACACAATACACCATAATGAAGTAGTGAAAACAGGTTTTAGAACATTTTCAAAATGTATTAAAAACAGAAATCCCGGATATCTTATTTACATAAGTATTCAGACCCTTTGCTATGAGACTCGAAATTGATCTCAGGTGCATCCTGTTTCCATTGATCATCCTTGATTTTTCTACAAATTGATTGGAGTCCACCTGTGGTAAATTAAATTGATTGGACATGATTTGGAAAGACACACACCTGTTTTATATAAGGTTTCACAGTTGTCAGAGCAAAAACCAAACCATGAGGTCAAAGGAATTGTTCGTAGAGCTCCGAGACAGGATTGTGTCAAGGTACAGATCTGGGGAAGGGTACCAAAACATTTCTGCAGCGTTGAAGGTCCCCAGGAACACAGTGGCCTCCATCATTCTTAAATTGAAGAAGTTTGGAACCACCAAGACTCTTCCTAGAGCTGGCCGCCCGGCCAAACTGAGCAATCGGGGGAGAAGGGCCTTGGTCAGGGAAGTGACCAAAAACCTGATGGTCACTCTGACAGAGCTCCAGAGTTCCTCTGTGGAGATAGGAGAACCTTCCAGAAGGAAGGTTCTCTGCAGCACTCCACCAATCAGGCCTTTATGATGGGTTAATGTTGCATAGGCCTACGTTTTTTAAAGTCATGTAAAAAAAAAAATGAAAAAAAAAAATGAACATTTACATTACATTTACGTCATTTAGCACACGCTCTTATCCAGAGCGACTTACAAATTGGTGCATTCACCTTATCGGTAGATATCTGCTTGGATTTTGACTCTGTGATCTCGACTCCAAAAAAGGTTGGTGACCACTGTTCTGAAGTGACGCCTCTGTTCATCATTAAGTCTTCTTCCTCCCTGGTGGCATTCTGCCGCTGCTACTCCAAGGGTGTTGTTGCCGGGAAGGCCAAGCTGTGCTTTGTTACGTATTAGTTGAGCAAAATGCTAGATATAGGCCCATGCCGTTACCCAATGTGGCATCTCTCAATCTGGCCCCTCATGATGTGTGTTCCCTTTTCCTCCGCTTTTCGCTTCCTTTCTGCGTCAACCCTACACATAGCACCACCATCACGTGGAATGACTCGCCTTCCAGTGCAAAGCAATGCATCGACCGTCCATTTTCCCTTGTAGCCTATGTCTATTGACTGTTATCTGTTGAAATGAAGCTCCCCCTTCTACTCGTGGAGTAACTGTGTCATGTTTTTCTTCTCTCAGGGCCACTATAGAGGAGGTGGAGGGGGATGTTGGGGAGTTGGAGTCCAAACTCGACAAGGTGAGTCCATATGATCCACATTTGGAGAAATGAACACCAGTGATGGAACTCTTGTTGTTTGCATGATGAACCACTCCCTCGCCATAGTAACCCAGTGTCCCGGTCCCCTCTAACTGGCCTGAGATCAGAACGAGTTGACACCGAGTGAGGGGAGCGAGAGTCTCAAACTGGAATGCATGGTACATAAGAGGAGTGTGATGAAATTCCACTTGTAGTTCTATAAAGACCCTGCAGCCAGTCACCAGAGCATTTGTAATGGTGGAAGAGGTGGGATTTTACTTCATTCACTAATCCTGGATCTCCAGTGATTTGCGGCTGCATTGTTCTTAAGATTGTGTCTCCCACCCTTTGGCCATCATTTGACTCACACCATACCCTGGTGTCACTTCCCTATTGCGGAAGGATCTGCTGCAGGGGGGTGTGGTGTGACTGCAGGGTGGGGGATGCAGGGGGGCCTGGAAGAGGAGTTCAGGCTTTTCTTAGAAACTAGGCCTTGCCATTTGAGAAAGAGAGCCCACCCACACAACCAAGATGAATCTTAAAACAACACAGGCTTTATTGTGATAATACTAAATCTCTTTTGAAGATCATTTCCCCATAACGTCGAATGACCGGTCATACAATCAAGGAAATCTCGTTTTTTTCTTTGGTGTGTTTTTCTTTCTCCAGTATTGAATCTGCTGAAAGACAAACATTTGATGTATCTAAATTAAAGATACTGCTGATTTAAAACACAGCACTGTTGATATTAAATAAATGTTATTATTGTATAACTTGCCACAAGTTCAAGAACAGTTACACCACCTTACATTGAACCCAGTAGCAAAATGGATTCTTTTGAGGCTTTGTGAGCTTTTCTCGCCTACCTGGCTTGATCAATATACGGCTGCATTTCATTACAGAAAGTGTTTTCTGCTCTGCCCTTGTTGGCTCTCCTGCACTGATCTGAAATGGCTGGATGGGTAGCAGCGAATAGCTCCCCCGAGCCCTCTAGGAATACTGGTTGAGTTCTGCCACATTGCTTTCACCTATCCAGTCCCATCTCTAGTTTCGTGAGCAGCAGTCAACGATGGCAGTAAGGGAAGTGCGCAGCTTTCTTGGGAGTGGGGAGAGAAATGCGTCCTTAGCGAACCAGGGTTTTTTTCTGGATCAAAAAGGGACTTAGATGGTGGGCGTGGCAGGGGGAGTGGTCGGCCCGTCGGCGAGTGTGAATTTTAGAGAACATTTTAGAGGCCCCCATCGTGACGGCGTATAGGCATTTTTACATTTTGTAAGCCAATTCTCCTGCAATTCTACACATTTCTCCATGGAGCTGAGACATTTTTGCAGTTTTAAAGGGATACTTTGGGATGCTAAATTGTGCTAATGCTAGTTAGCATTGGCTCACGAAACTACCTCCAAACTTCTTTCATACTGGACACAGAAACATACAAATGGGATCCACTAATGAATCTGTCTCTGGGGAGGTAGATAAAGGGCCTCATTGCCAACATCCCGAAGGATCCCTTTAAAGCAAATGTCTTGTATTCTGCCATGGAGCTGAGATCAAATCTTTTCAGTTTGAAAGCTAATTTCCTGTAATTCTATGCATTTTGCCATGGCTAATGCTGTGTTCTTTTGCTCAAACATAATAACAATCTATACTGCTAAATTCATTTTTTAATTTTTCATTCTTTCTTCTTCCTGACTGTCTAGCTTTTTATTTTTGGTGATTTAATAGTTCTCAAAGATTATATTATATAAAAAAAATAGGTACATCATCTTTTCTATATACTTTATATCTGGTTTTAGTCGTTTAAGCTAACACTGAAATGCTTTTTCCATCCCAAAAAACAAAACAATCAAAACATTTATATCCCTGGCGAAAGTATCACAAGTGTCCTTGACAATTTGGCATATAACCCGTCCAATTCCACCTGAAGCTACAGAATCTCTGCTGAAGGTTTTCACTTTTAGTCATACACCCTGTCGGATAGCGAGCCCATTTGTCATAAGCACTGAAGCGATCGGACAGACTACAGAGGAACATTCCGCTTCCCTGCTTCCTCTCGTGTGAGAGTGCATGGATAAGGTCCAGGGTTTGTTTGGGACTTTACGTAACCTGGGATTATGTCTGCCCCTAATGAGTTAGAAAAAATTAAAAAATCTTAAATGTAGAGGGTTGCTTGTTAAGCTAATTACCGTTAGCTAGTTTCTGGTGATTTTTTTTATTTTATTTTTATTCTCAGCCTCTCTCCAAGATGTATTTATTTATCAAATGTCCAGTGTTTGAACATGGAACAGTGGCCTAAAGGGATGGTGTGGAAAGCAAGCACTATTTCATCCATTACTCACTTCTGTCATCTCCCTCTCTCTTCTCTCACCTCTCTCTCTCCCTCCCCCCACCCCCCCCCCTCACCCTCCTAGCTGGTGAGTAGCATCGATCGACGCCGGCAAGGCCTACAACACGGCAAACAGACAGTTTGTCAACGGAATCCGCGAGCTCGCTGCGAGCTCCACCAAAGATGAGGTCATTGAGGTAAAAGACCTATAAGTAACCTAGCTCGAGCTTCTCAAGTCAAAACTGTCCGTTCATACTGTTAGAAAACCGCCAGTTTCCCCAACTTTCTCTCTTTAGTGGGACTCCTCTGTTTTTAATCTTCTCTCACATTTCTGCGTTGAGGCCTGCATTTCTGCTCCTTTTTTTGTTGTATATTTCCTTTACAGCTTCTCCCCTGGGTCTGAAGTTCAGCCAAAGTGCATATTTTTTTTGAAAGAATGCCCTGGCTGAAGAATTCTCCCTGGAAGCACCCATTTATTGCTCAAGTTTCAAATGACCTAAAGCAGCGTAGCAGTACAGTAGAGGATTTCCTCTTACCCGTACCTCAGTCACTGTCAGGAGGTTCTACTAGTCTGGAATTCACTGTTTATACCCTGTCGCTCATACGTGTGTGTGTGTGTGTGTGTGTGTGTGTGTGTGTGTGTGTGTGTGTGTGTGGTCTGTCGTGTGTGTTTCAGGGCTCCAGACTTAACATTTTCCCCCTGCTGCCACTTAATTTTACAGTTGGTCGCACCAGCCCATGATTTGGTCGTTACTAGAAAAAAATCTGCGGCATCACGCAATAGAAAAAAATAAGTAATTCCTTATAAAGCCATTCACAGTGCTTTATTAAGAGGTGCAATAGACTACTGGGATGGTATTCAATAAATATGTTGTATCTAACACGTCCATGCAGGAATGCATGATTCAAGATATTTTTGACGTGCAATCTCCAGTGATTGTCAGGAATTTTGGGTTGACACTTAGGCTATTGTAATAATATGTGACAATTCAGATGCCCTATTTTAACAATATTTTATTCAATAGATATTAAATTGCCTACGTCTTTATGTGCACTAATATCATAGGCTATTTTATTTGGAGCTAATTCACCACCTCAGTAAGTGGAAACTTACCTCTGGTAGGCATGTATTAATCTAACAGGAAGTTCAATGTCCTAAAAAAACAGATGCAGTTGTAGCCTACTACCCAATGAGGCCAATATGCACTCGCAATGGCCGATGCGCATTTCGCACACTCCCTATCTCAAAAGCCATATCAAATATCTTAATTGTAAAATAGTTGTTATAGAGCGCAAATGAGAAATATAAATTATACCTACAGAAAGCTGAGAACCTCCTCTCTTTAAGTGTGTTTCTCCTGCAATTGGATTTTGAAATGTTATAGCCTACAATCAGGACAAAACACTTTTTTTCTCCCAGTACGCAGGGGGGAGAGGGAGGGAGGAGGGAGGGAGTGAGTGGCTTGCTCATCACAGCAGCAGGCCCCAGCGAAACGGGCAAAGTGGCAGGGCAGAGACTTTCTTTACAGGAATCGTGAGGATAATGCACATTTACTGTTTGATCAAATCATGGTTTTAGCCTCCTAAACGAAATTGGACGTTTGGAGTGAAGTGACCATGTAGAATTGGCAGCACACACCGACGAAACCAATTAAAAAATGTAACACACTGCCAAGTCAAAGGGTCGCAAAATGCGACTAAATGGTTGCAGCCTGGAGCCCTGTGTGTGGGACTATTTCATACAATAGCACTATTATCCATGGATGGATGGATGGATGGATGGATGGATGGATGGATGTATAATACATGTTTTTACATAGCACTGTTCTGTCCCATGTATCTGTACACACGTCACAATACAGATAGATCTACAGACCTAGTATCTTATATACAGACCTAAGACCTAGTGTCTTATATACAGACCTAGTGTCTTATATACAGACCTAGTGTCTTATATACAGACCTAGTGTCTTATATACAGACCTAGTGTCTTATATACAGACCTAGTGTCTTATATACAGACCTAGTGTCTTATATACAGACCTAGTGTCTTATATACAGACCTAGTGTCTTATATACAGACCTAGTGTCTTACGTACGGACCTAGTGTCTTACGTACGGACCTAGTATCTTACGTACGGACCTAGTGTCTTACGTACGGACCTAGTGTCTTACGTACGGACCTAGTATCTTACGTACGGACCTAGTATCTTTGTGTTACACTCCTTTTTTTCTCCCACAGTCCAGTCTCACAACGTTTGCTGAGAGTCTGCAAGAGATGATCAACTATCACACGGTACGGCTGGCGACATTTGATTTAAAACAGAACGTGGTTGTGATATACACCAGTTAAGTGCCAGTGGGTGGTTTTAACAGGAATGGGACCTTAAAATAGTCTGGGCTTTCATCACTCTGAAAAACAGAACTGCAAAACCCAAAAACATCTCATGATCATGCTTTAACCGCATGTAATAGGGAACAAGCATCCTGCCTGCTTAAATACATCCCTAGTCCCTTCTTTCAAGTGTGGGAGGACACTTCTTAATGTCCTACCCTCTCTATCAATACCCCCTAAACCCCATGGTGCCTCAGGGCAAGTTTTTTTTTAGATGGTGACTTAACACTGGAGAGACCTCCCTAGTCCTGTCTTGGTGTCCTACCCCGTCCCCATACTCCCTAAACCCCAGGGTCTGAGACCAATGACTCAACACTGGAGACTGCAGTGAGATCAGCTGAATGATTTGTTAAAGTTTGCTACTCAGTGTTAACCCGAGCACATGATCCTTAAAGCACAGAGCCAAATCTGTTTTGTCACCGGAGCACGGCACTCCAGTCCAGTCCCAACCACACACTGGTCGTATTGTCTGGCCCCGCATCAGCAGGCTCAACACCGTGAGGCCTTCAGCTTTGGTGTCTTTGAGGCTAATTCTGCTGACCGTCCGTTTTGAAGGAAGTTAAAGTTCTACGAGTCGGTCTCTGACTAACTAGCGAGAATGAACACTGCATCACAGCATGTCATTATTGAGCGGATTGGGTTTTGAAACCTATAGGCTGTTGTGCATTAGAATATGCGCCTGAAAGGTACAGTCCGATCAATGCTGATTTTTGTCATGTTTTGTGAACTCACCTATAAAGTAGAGGGGTACACACCCTGGTTTGTTGAGGTGCCGACTGGCAGAACATACACACCATTCCATGTAAAGAAATGAGTTTCACACGCTCCAGCTCGTAATATTTAAAATATAAAAAAGGTTGTGACTGTTACTCGGTTGCATAAAGTACTAATCAGTCGTGTTTCTCTGCTTAGATTTTGTTTGACCAGGCCCAGCGATCGATTAAGACGCAGCTTCTAACGTTTGTCAAAGAGTAAGTATCTCGACACATCACTGTTAAGAGTATTCTTCTTGTACACAATAACAATGGACATTATGTTATGAACAGTAGCAGTGCGGTCGTGTTTTCTGTAGTGTCCAGTTTTTTTTGTTTTTGTCTATTTTGTATATATTTCTCAATTTTACTTTTCATTCTTTAACTAAAATATTCTTTCCTGCAACCCGCCTCACCCAACGTGGAAAGGATTCTATTATTTCTTTATAACTTTTATCAAGAACCTTAAGCTGAAACTAGTCTAGCTGCAACCGAATAGCTACTTGCTATTAGCCACAGTTAGCATCTTCACCATTGTCCGTGGCCTGCACTGCCCACCAGCCAGCTCTAGCCTGGACAATTTGTCGGCCAGTCTGCACAGCGTGCTATCGACCCAGAGCATATCGGATTTTCTGCCGGAATCACTGGACCCTAGCGCCGGATCATCGCAACTAGCTAGCTGCAACAGAATGGCTGTTGTCGTTGGCTAATTACCATTGCCCCTTAGCAAGCATTTAGCCTTGAGCTAGCCTCGAGCCAGGCCCATCTCCCGGCTATCTACCTCTCTGTCAACCGGACGGGACCTCCTAGTGTTGACACGGAGCCCCGCCGATCCAACACGACTGGTCTGCCGAAAAAAATTGTCTGATGTGGTTTCAACAGGCTTCCCGTTACGACGTCGACCACGAAGATCCATCTGCTAGCCCCGGCCCACTAGCACACGCAAGCTATGCCTCTTGCTCGCCAGTGCTATAGCAGCCCCCGAACTACCTCCGAACTCTCCTATTGCTGTTCACCGGATCTTATGATAACTCAGCTATACAGCTGATGCCTGCTGGACTGTTCCTTTATACGGTACCGCATCCTGTTTATGTTTAGCCTCAGCCCAAACTTTGTCGCCATTACCAGCTGTTGTCTTAGCTCTCTCGAATAACACCTGTGATTGCTTTATGCCTCTCTCCCATGTCAATATGCCTTGCTTATTGCTGTTTAGGTTATTTCTTATTGTACTATTTCACTGTAGAGCCCCCAGTCCAGCTCAACCTGCCTTAGATAGCTCCTTGGTCCCACCCCCCATACACGCGGAGACCGACTCAATCGGTGCCTCCAGAGATGCTATCTCTTTCATCGTTACCCAACGCTTAGGTTTACACTACAATGTTACAAATACCTAGGTGTCTGGTTAGACTGTAAACTCTCCTTCCAGACTCACATTAAGCATCTCCAATCAAAAGTTAGATCTAGAATCGGCTTCCAATTTCGCAACAAAGCCTCCTTCACTCATGCTGCCAAACATGCCCTCATAAAACGGACTATCCTACCGATCCTTGACTTCGGCAATGTCATTTACAAAATAGCCTCCAACACTCTACTCAGCAAATTGGATGTAGTCTATCACAGTGCCATCCGTTTTGTCACCAAAGCCCCATATACTACCCACCATTGTGACCTGTACGCTCTTGTTGGCTGGCTCTCACTACATATTCATCGCCAAACCCACTGGCTCCAGGTCATCTATAAATCACTGCTAGGTAAATCGCCGCCTTATCTTAGCTCATTGGTCACCATAGCAACACCCACCCGTAGTATGCGCTCCAGCAGGTATATCTCACTGGTCATCCCCAAAGCCAACATCTCCTTTGGCCGCCATTCCTTCCAGTTCTCTGCTGCCAATGACTGGAACGAATTGCAAAAATCTCTGAAGCTGGAGACTCTTATCTCCCTCACTAACTTTAAGCATCAGTTGTCAGAGCAGCTTACTGATCACTGCACCTGTACACAGCCATTCTGAAATTAGCCCACCCAACTACCTCATCCCTATATTGTTATTTATTTTGCTAATTTGCACCCCAGTATCTCAACTGCAATCTCAAGTTGCACATGTTTTGCACATCTATCATTCCAGTGTTAATACGAAATTGTAATTATTTTGCACTATGGCCTATTTATTGCCTTACCTCCATAACTTACTACATTCGCACACACTGTATATTTTCTGTTGTATTTTTGACTGTACGTTTTGTTTACCCCATATGTAACTCTGTGTTGTTGTTGTTTTTATCGCACTGCTTTGCTTTATCTTGGCCAGGTCGCAGTTGTAAATGAGAACTTGTTCTCAACTGGCTTACCTGGTTAAATAAAGGTTAAATTAAAAAAGTATATTTTGTATTCAACATCCAAATGGTTTCTGATAGATCATGGCCTAGGTCTAAAATAACTAAGGAAGCAAATGACATGGTGGAGTTGAGCCGTGTAAAATAAATTCACACAGCACAACTGCTCAAAAGGAGGAAGCTCACGCACACAAACAGCACATCAACACGATGAAGAATGGGATGAGATGAAGTCCGGGATGCAATGTGGAATACTCGGTTATTTGTTCAGAATATTAGGTCCTGTTAATGTAGTGTACAGCTTGTACATGTTTGCTAACCTACTAGCTAATGCACCCACATTTTCCCCAGACAGTTTGCGTAAGCGTTTAAGCCTGCGGGGAAACCTCATTTTATTTCATTATGCGGGATTAGCCAGCTGCCTTTGCCCAAACATGAGCTAAACTCCTACGTCAGTGTTTTTTTTTTTTTTTTTAAGAATCACTCAAAACCATCTTACTGAACAATTACTCACTCCTCCTAAGCAGTCCAAGGTGACTTTGTTTCACTCAGACTCGAGCAGTACAAGCCAAAAAAACAAGATTTTAGGACATTTTGAGTTGAAGTAGTGGCCTTTTGTCCTTCTGTTTTAGAGTAAATAGTGTCCTCATATCTGTGCCAATTCATTCTAAATGTACAATTCACACTGCACACACTAGCAAATGATTTCAAGCTTTAACATAGAGTTCCAATTGGAAGTTGTCAGGGTGCATGTGAGGCTAATATCAGAATAGTCATTAATTGCTTCGTCAAATACTTAACTGGAGTAATATGACATGTCACCCTGAAGACAGTAGACTCATTTGTACTCACAGGAAGGGAGAGAAATTAGATGTTTAGGGCCATTTGCTTCCCTTAAAAATATTATAGACCTAGAATATAGAATATATAATTTTTCCTCTAATGATTTAGCTAGGCTGCTTGTTAATAATTATTTTCAATGTCTCACATTTTCTTATTTTCGCCAGAAAATCTCACTAGCTCTGTATGTTTTTGAAACCAGAGAATCTCACTGCCTTCTCCAAAACATGGCTGCAAAGAATCGGTGGTCTCAAAAAGAAAATGAACAATTGAATGCCAATGAATGAAAGAAAGAGGCCTATATTCCTGGAAATGAAGTACAATTTGACTAGACTGACAAACATTTAGCCGAGATGAGGCTTCCTCAGTGTCATTTCTTGCCTATGTTTCACCCCGCCGCCCTTAGGGACCTGCGTAAGTTCAAAGAGGCCAAGAAGCAGTTTGACAAGGTGAGCGAGGAGAAGGAGGCGGCGTTGACCAAGAACGCCCAGGCGCCGCGCAACAAGCAGCACGAGGTGGAGGAGGCCACCAACATCCTGACGGCCACACGCCAGTGCTTCCGCCACATCGTCCTTGACTACGTCCTCCAGGTACAGACCAAGGATCAGTTTGCCTTAAATCCTTAACTTAACCTTCAGGGTTAAGTAAACCTGCTTAGACTGACCTTTTATATCAGTTTTTAAAATTCATATTACTATGAAGTAGCATAGACATGGGTTCACCAAGCCCTGTCCTGGAGCGCAACATGAAGGTGTGCAGGCTTTATTTCCAGCCCAGCACTTGCACACAGCAGACGATCGGCTGAATCAGATTCAGGATTGTACTCTTAAGGGCAAAACTTAGCAAAATCGCTTTGCACTGGAAAACGAAAATTAGTGTTTCTTATTGGACTAGTTCAGTCCCTCAGTTTCCGTCAGTTTTCTGTTTAGTGTCAAATTAATAAGGTTCAGGTGTGACGGTGTTAGGCTGGAACAATAGAGCCCCACAGTGGAGGTATCATAATACCCATAAAACCTAGAGGTAAAACAGGATGATGGCTCCAATTGTTTTTCCACCATACATTTTTCCCATAGGGGATTTTAGAAACACTTAAAATAAGGGCTGTGTTTCATGTAGGCTTACCCTGGTGTGATGTTTTGATAACCGTGTAAATCTCTCTTGGACAAATCAACTGAAATATGACATTTACATAAGTATTCAGACCCTTTACTCAGTACTTTGTTGAAGCACCTTTGGCAGCGATTACAGCCTCAAATCTTCTTGGGTGTGATGTTACAAGCTTGGCACACCTGTATTTGGGGAGTTTCTCCCATTCTTCTCTGCAGATCCTCTCAAGCTTTGTCAGGTTGGATGGGGAGCGTCGCTGCACAGCTATTTTCAGGTCTCTCCAGAGATGTTCGATTGGGTTCAAGTCCGTGCTCTGGCTGGGCCACTCAAGGACATTCAGAGACTTGTCCCGAAGCCATGCCTGTGTTGTCTTGGCTGTGTGCTTAGGGTCGTTGTCCTGTTGGAAGGTTAACCTTCGCCCCAGTCTAAGATCCTGAGCGCTCTGGAGCAGGTTTTCATCAAGGATCTCTCTGTACTTTGCTCTGTTCATGTTTCCCTCGATCCTGGCTAGTCTCCCAGTCCCTGCCGCTGAAAAACATCCCCACAGCATGATGCTGCCACCACTATGCTTCACCGTAGGGATGGCATTGGCCATGTGATGAGTGGTGCCTGGTTTCCAGACGTGACGCTTGGCATTCAGGCCAAAGAGTTCAATCTTGGTTTCATCAGACCTGAGAATCTTGTTTCTCATGGTCTGAGAGTCCTTTAGGTGCCTTTTGGCAAACTTTTGCTCTGACATGAACTATAATAATAATAATAATAATAATAATAATAATAATAATAATATACATGAACTGTCAACTGTGGGACCTTATATAGACAGGTGTGTGCCTTTGCAAATCATGTCCAATCAATTGAATTTACCACAGGTGGACTCCAAGTTGTAGAAACATCTCAAGGATGATCAATGGAAACAGGATGCACCTGAGCTCAATTTCGAGTCTCATAGCAAAGGGTCTGAATACTTATGTAAATAAGGTATTTCTGTTTTTTTTATTTGTAATACATTTGCGACCCTCTTTAGCAGCTGTAGTGGAATAGTGAGACATTTTCCAATTGACTCTGTGCTTTACGTTGCTCAATATCCTCTCAACTGCCCAGTGGGAAAACAACCAGCACCCTAGAACCTTCCACTAGACTTTAACCCTTCAGCAGATATCAAGTAGAAGCAATATGGTGATAGCCCTCCACCTATCCTGTTCCTATCGCCTGCTTCCACCGATCCAATTCCTACACACACACACACACACACACACACACACACACACACTACAATATCTATTTGTCCGCGTAAGCCCAGATGAAGAAAAGCCCCTGTCTGTGTTATGACCGACCTATAGCTCCTCCGGCTTTATTGAAATGAACCTGATTTGACCTGCAGACTGCAGCAGATGCTGTGTGGGACGTTAATTAGCTCTGTCTAAAGGGTAAATAGGCCATAACAGCAGTCTGTGTACAGTGCAGCTGGGCATATGAGATCACAGGACACATCACACTGACTACAGCATCTCTCTGCTAGAGGGAGGCGGGGCTCCCCCTGATGTCAAAGAGGGGGATAGCCATCTGTTCAATCTAGAGTGGCGTAATTCTTGCTAATTATATGCTAGTCATGATGCCTGTTTTAATGGGAACCAACTAATTTTAAATACATTTAAAGTTCATTGGTGGGAACTAGGAAGATTATTTGATTCCATAATTTCACTGGTACAGTGCTCTCTTTTTCTCAGACACAATCTAACCCTGAGCTTTCCTTTCCGCCCACAGATCAATGTACTACAGTCCAAGAGAAGATCGGAAATCCTCAAATCGGTAAATATTGTTTCCCCGAGGACTTTCTCTGAAAATAGCCATATAAACCTAAGTTACCAGTATGTTGATCCTACATCTCTTGCCTCGTATCCGACATCTCTGATTGGTCCGTTCCTCTCCGCAGATGCTGTCCTTCATGTACGCCCACCTGACCTTCTTCCACCAGGGTTACGACCTTTTCAGTGAACTGCAACCGCTCATGAAACAGCTGGGGGGACAGGTAGGCCTTAACCCTATTTCCTCCTGTTGTTCTGCACCTCCACCTTGCCCATCCAAACACATTGCCACAGCCCTGGGACTCATAATAATAATAATAATAATAATATGCCATTTAGCAGACACTTTTATCCAACGCGACTTACAGTCATGTGCGCATACATTTTTACGTATGGGTGGTCCCGGGGATCGAACCCACTACCCTGGCGTTACAAGCGCCGTGCTCTACCAATTGAGCTACAGAGGACCACAACATGCCTTATAGCAGTGTTTCTCAAACCTCTCCTCGGGGACCCCAAGACGTTTCACAATTGTATTGTAGCCCTGAACTATCTCACCTGATTGACCTAGTCAAGGTGTTTATGATTAGTCAACATGTTGAATCAGGTGTGCTAGACACATGGAACGGCAGGGCGGACCTCTTTCATAGCATTGCTCTCGATACAGAAGGGTATAGCCATGATGCAAATCAACACTTTTCCTCCCTGCTTAGGAGTTGAGCTAGGGTGAAAAGTAATTTGCTTCTGCCTATAAACAGTTCTCTTTTCTGGGTGCACAAGTGTGCCCTAGTTAACAGTGGCACTAGGTGGGGTTTTTGGCCAGAGATTATGCAATTTCGTGTGTGAGCTTGTGTGTGAATGTTTGTGTCAGGTAAACCAGTAGATTCCGTCTTGGCCAGGGGAGGTTTAAACAGGGAAAATGTGACCGAGCTGCTGTTCCCCCTCCTGCTGCTGTTCCTCCTCCTGCTGCTGTTCCTCCTCCTGCTGCTGTTCCTCCTCCTGCTGCTGTTCCCCCTCCTGCTGCTGTTCCCCCTCCTGCTGCTGTTCCCCCTCCTGCTGCTGTTCCCCCTCCTGCTGCTGTTCCCCCTCCTGCTGCTGTTCCCCCTCCTGCTGCTGTTCTTCCTCCTGCTGCTGTTCCCCCTCCTGCTGCTGTTCCCCCTCATGCTGCTGTTCCCCCTCATGCTGCTGTTCCCCCTCCTGCTGCTGTTCCTCCTCCTGCTGCTGTTCCTCCTCCTGCTGCTGTTCCTCCTCCTCCTGCTGCTGTTCCTCCTCCTGCTGCTGTTCCTCCTCCTGCTGCTGTTCCTCTTCCTCCTGCTGTTCCTCCTCCTGCTGCTGTTCCTCCTGCTGCTGTTCCCCCCCCCTGCTGCTGTTCCCCCTCCTCCTGCTGCTGTTCCTCCTCCTGCTGCTGTTCCTCCTCCTGCTGCTGTTCCTCCTCCTGCTGCTGTTCCTCCTGCAATGATTATTATCTTGGTAGAGCAGAGTGGGAATGAGGAAGCTGGAGGAGGAATGACAGGGTATTCCCACCCTGGGACTCAGGCTGCTGCAAGTCACATTGAACCTGGGCTTATCAGAGGAGAGGAGCACAGAGGAGAGGAGCATAGAGGAGAGGAGGAGCATAGAGGAGAGGAGGAGCACAGAGGAGAGGAGGAGCACAGAGGAGAGGAGGAGCACAGAGGAGAGGAGGAGCACAGAGGAGAGGAGGAGCACAGAGGAGAGGAGGAGCACAGAGGAGAGGAGGAGCACAGAGGAGAGGAGGAGCACAGAGGAGAGGAGGAGCACAGAGGAGAGGAGGAGCACAGAGGAGAGGAGGAGCACAGAGGAGAGGAGCGGAGAGGAGGAGCGGAGGAGGAGGAGGAGAGGAGGAGGAGAGGAGAGGAGAGGAGAGGAGAGGAGAAAGAGAGGGGCCTGTTTGGAGGACTGTGCCACGGTGGGAAAGGTAGACCGGGCGTGAAGGAGATGGGAGGAGGCGTGTGACAGATGGAAGGAGAGAGAAAGGAGGGAACAGTGGTGGACAGACGGCGGAGGAGGAGTGTAATGGTAGACAGGGCTTGAAATTAACTATTTTTTTGCCATTTGACCTTCAGACACGTAGGAAAGATGTTTTGGTTGTCCAAAAGCTCAAGTCACTTGTCTAAAATTGTGAAATGGTCTATTTACATCATTGTAAGATGCAGAGAACCATTTTACAAACAATACAGTATATTTTTTACCTTAGAGAATCAGACAGAAAGGCAGGCTACAATGCCTATTGGCTTCTTTGCATATTCAAGCCATTGATTTATATACACTTCCAGTCAAAAGTTTGGACACCTATTCATTCAAGGGTTTTTCTTTATTTTTTTACTATTTTCTACATTGTAGAATAATAGTGAAGACATCAAAACTATGAAATAACACATATGGAATCATATAGTAACCAAAAAAGTGTTAAACAAATCAAAATATATGTTATATTTGAGATTCTTCCAAGTAGCCACCCTTTGCCTTGATGACAGCTTTGCACACTCTTAGCATTAGAGCATCAGAAGTGTTTAGTAAATCATTTCCTCCACATTTCTATGGTCTTATTTTGGGCTAGGCTACTTTGAAACAAGGGAAGACGTGCTTCATAAAATAAATGTTATGGTTAAATAGTTTCCTAATGCTGACCGCCTCCACTCGGATTCAAGGTGGGTGATGTGCTGAGTGCAACAGGCACTGTCCTTCACTCTCCA